ACTGGTAATATCCATGCGGTATTGCTGATGACAATTCTAGTGTATGACAACCACCAACCAACAATGTGCTCTTTCCTTAAGAACCCTTACTGATAGAGGGATTTTCCAGACTGTACAGGAAATTTCTGCTTTAGCAGTCTGGCTATTTTCAGCTTCTGTTTTATTCACACATTCTTTGTCAATATTAAGCTCTTCCCAAAGTCTGCTCTCACTTGAGAACTGAGAATCTTACTAAATTCCAAATTAATCTGAACATTTTGGTAAGAAACTGTGGGGTTTTCTAAATCAAAGATAAAGAAGCAGGATTTTTGTGATTAAAACTACGCTTCACTGAGGGGCTGGGAGGAGAGCTCAGCGGTGGAGATAAGCTTTCTCATTGGTAGGAAGAAGAAATATCAAGTCCCCATGATGCTGGCAATGAGTCTTTACAGTCTCTACATGATCTGCCAGTCAGTCAGCATTTAAAACAATGCAACACATGACTAGGAAAGGCTTTCTCTTTTTTGTGTGTGATTTTTTTTTTTTTTAAAGCTACACTTCAGAGCCCAGTATGATACTGTAAGTACAAACATTTAGTCTTATTTATTATGAGCATCCTTATGCTTGTAAACTCAGACTGTCTGATGGGAGGAAGAGGCAATCCCATAGGACAGCCTATCAAACCACAAACCAGGAGGAATGCATTAAGATAAAACTACAAAATGTACTGTGACTGCCCTCTGTCAATTTTAAGTTTTTCCTTTTTTTTTTTTTTCTGACTTCCTAACCATTTGTGGTGCTAATTTGTAATAGTATGGAGTAATTCTGAATACTGTGGTGAACGGTGATGGATAATGCCACATGTCAAAGGGGAGCTGATCTCATTTCAGATGGGAAATGTAGGTGGCTTATTGCTCAGCACAGCATAACTCAAAATTTTTTGAATTTTCTTGAAAAGTTGTAGATAGAGAGATGCAGCTGAAAGGGGTTAGTGCTTCCGCTGGTCAGGCACAAGCAAAATCCACTGAATGGAAAAGCAGGTCCCTCTTCACCCATCTTATTTATGGATGTTGTGAGACTCTGAAGGAAGGCACAGGCCCTCTGGGAGAGGGTGGTGGCTGCAGCAGGCAATGGATAAAGGGAAACAGCCATCCACAGTGTTGTGAGGTATAGAAAAAATTGCATGCATCGAATCTGTCACACTTTGAGCTATATACAGTTTCAGAGTACTTCAAGTCATACACCCCAGGAAATCTGCCAAGGGGGAAAGGAAAGGCTATGTGCTAGTTCATAATCCTATGAACATTTCTTGCGTAGTTTTAGGTTGCTGTTCTCACACGTCATGTTTCATATTCCCTGTATAATTTGTTAACTCACAAGTTGGATCTCCGTGTTGAGGGGTCTACTTGAGACATTCTCCAGCATTTGATATTTCAGCCGGAAAGGCAAGAAGCTGTCGAACAAACATTCTAAATCTGAACCACATCTTTTTAATGGCAACTTTTTGAAGGCATTTTGGATTTATTACTGCAGAAAAACATCTTCAAAAGTTTCCTGATTTACTATTCTATCTTAAGAACAAAGGGAGAAATTTATAGAAGATCAAACAGATAAAAATAGAATGAAAAGACAGCAGATGCTGTTGATTTACTGAAGAATTCAGAGCCTCACATTTGGTGGCTATATTGTTTGCTGATACCACAGTTTTAGTGTTAATAATCTACACCCAAGCTGAACATATTACGAAGCTTTTTTAATCTCTAGTTTCTTGCGACACGTACAGAAAACACTTGATTTTGAGTTGCTTGCTTTATGTTTTGTCATCAGAAACATTAATTATGATATCTGAGGATTATTCACTTCTCAGTTCACTTTCTTAATTGTCACATGAGAGATGGGAAGGGGTGATATGTGTGATATGTCTAGGTGTAATTCTTTAAGCCTTGGCACAACATGGTATTGACCAAAGACAAGTTGCTTGCCCTAAACTTCAGTGTGCAATTATTTAAGCATTCACATAATGCATCTCTTCATCTGTTCAGGAGTCAGAACTCTCAGCCACCAGAATTATTATTTCATATTGTTCTCTACCAGAAAAAGCTCAAATAGCTAAATGGGAAAATTAAATTCTTAATAGAGACCTATCCCCTCTCTTTTTTACCCTTCACTTCCCCACAGTGTTTCCCTGAGCTCTTAGGGTTGAATAGGGCTAAACATGTTTTTTCTTCTTTAATTCTTTTAATGAACTGTCTGAATAGGTTAGTAGAGTACAAAGAAAACTACATCTGCCTTCCTAGAGAATGAGTGCTTCAGTGCTCTCTTTTCCCAGGAGAGAGAAGCTAAGTTTGATCATCCATAAGGACAGTTATTTCACTGGGCATGTAGGGCTTAATTTGCTTGATTCCTCCTGCTCAAGTCTTTATTTTGGGGTAGCTGTTTGTAGCTGGTTTTCTGAACAAAACTGTCTGAAATGATCACGTTCTTTAGTGATCCGTCTCTTCCTAATGTAAACTTGCTGCCTGTTTCCAAGCAAATGTAACTCAGTGTTTCAAGATCCTAGAGACATTAAATTTATATGTTTTTCATAAAGACTGGTGATCAAATGGAGGAAAGACGGACTGCTCGCTGTCCAGCTTGCAGAAGTGAGCTCAGTCCATATTAGGTGCTAGAGGATTTCCCCACGTACCCAGCCGGTGTCCTTGTCCCCTAGCAGAAGATGAGAAGATGAGAGACAACTGCACAGGGAACAGGTCCTGATAGTTTCAGTACTAACCAGAAATATGAAGGCCATTTGAACAAGACCCATTTTTGACCATGAAAACTTGATTTTTTTTTTCTGCCTGTTGCAAGCAAACAGTGGGACCTAAACCTTAACTACTAAGCAAAAGTCAGACCTTTTTAAGTTGTGTATCTGCCAGTGCTCATTCATCCCCTCTAGAATCAACTCTCCTTCATTTAAGGCAACAGGAGCTTTGAACGATTGGACTGGCAAAGAATTAGATTCAAAGTACACATTCTTAGCTGATTATACCTTCCCCTATGCCACATTAGGTTGATTTAGATTGGTGTCAAGATGAATGAGAACCAGACTTCTAATAGGTACTTGTCCTACCTTTTGTAATGCAGTCCCTTCCTCCTCTGTTTCTTTGTTGATGCTTAGAAAAGGCATTTCCTCTACTCTGTGTATGATACAGTAAATTGTTAACAGTAATGTATTAACAGGGCACTAGGGTCTATTAGACAGAGTTAACCTCTTTGCCCATCAATCCCAGCAAGCAGAAGAAGGTGGTCCTTCATTCTAAATTACTGTCAGTACCTTTTAATTGAAGATGTGCAAGTTGCTTCCTTTACTGTTTTTTCTCAGGAAGTAGAGTTCATCTCTCTTTCTCCTTCTGACCTCAGTAAGGAGGAAAAAGCAGAAAGTATCTCATCATAGTTGTTTTCCCTCTTTTTCTGTCCTCTTTGTGGCTGATAACAGTACTCTACTGACACCATATTATATCCAGTGTCAACTCCTAGTCAAATAGAATTAATTCTTTTTTCAAAACCAATTCACAAATTGCAAGTTAAGCAATCACACAGCTTTAAATCCCTGGGAAGACTAGGTACAGCATACTTTTTGTTTAATGTGTTAAGCATCATTTTTGCTTTACTTTGTTTTTTAAAGAAATGAGAAGCCACTCTGGAATAGTAGCTGGTTTGGTGCTCTGCTGATCATTAGTACTGGAGAAAGATGCTCTGCCATTTCATCTTGTTAAAATGTATTTTACTTCTGTGATAATCTTCATTAGTACTTTCTAGTACTTGTACATTAGCTCCATAGTGAAATTGTGTGTAAATGGAAATGTAGCATATTGGATTAGGTACTCAGCATTATTATTAAGCTATGAGTCAGCTTGTCACATCTGAGAGCAGATCTTTTTTCCATGCTGGTTTTCTATCACTCCACTCACCTGCAGTTTTGAGGAAGCACTATTAAACAGTCTGTTGGCCAGGCAAGCAGCTATTCAAGGTGATGGGTGCCTTTCTGGTGCAGTCAGCCATAGGACACATGCTCACTAAAATTTACTGCTTTCTGCTCAGTCTCAGGGAAGCTGGTTTTACGCAGCCAGCTGTTTCGTCTGCCTCTGAATACACAGAAGCATGTTCTTTAAAATTCTATTTGTCTTCATACAGTAGCTGCATGCTCTACTTAAATCATTTTATTTTTACTTGGCTCTATATGATCATATATATACAGGATGTGGCCTTCATATGCCACAAGATAAAGGATTTATCAGAGCATGAAGAAACATCCTAGCTACATCTTGTTAAAAAAGTGTGTTTGTGTGCGCACGCATTGGTTATGTAACTGTCCTCAATGCGCAGCATCGCTGCATGCTGCTGCCCTGCCAGGTGCCACTTAGGGAGGCATATACATGTATTTGCAGCTTTATATGAAGTCCAGTGTTATGTTTATTAGAGAACGAAATTTGATAAACAAAATAAGTGATGTGACTGAAATGAAGGTGCTTACATGGCTTTCAGAGTTTGCTGATAATGTTCAGAAATAAACAGCATCAGCATTTTGTTCCTTTTGAGTTAGACCTACAGATGTAATGCTTTTCTTTATTTTCTATGGCTCCTACAAGGCCAATGATGTTGTGAGGTACGAGTCCTTATCATTACATGCTCAGAAACAGATTAATTACATTTTTAGGATTTAGTCAATAAAATTGAATAAATTTAACTCTTATACAAAAGCTGAGAACTGAGGCACAATCATATCCTCTTATAACTCCAGACACAACTTGAATGTTTGTCTTTATAATATATATGTCAACGTGTCAGGCCAGTAATTCACACATGTGAATAAACACAGCTTCCCTTTGCTTTCATGCTCCCAGGGGAAAAAAAAAATCTGTTATGCTTTAGCAAATTGGGCATAATTAACTCTGTGAGCAAACTGATAATGCAGTTAATGGAAGAAAGATATATGGATATTTACTTTCATGTTTGGTTTTTTTTTTTTTCCCCCACAGAATGATATCACACCATTACATGTTGCATCGAAGAGGGGAAATGCAAATATGGTCAAACTCCTACTTGATCGAGGAGCTAAAATTGATGCCAAAACAAGGGTAAGCTCAAATGTGAACGCTGTGAGTGATTGTGTGGAATTCTTTCCTCCGACCTGTTAGTTGCTGTACAGCTTAAATAATTCATCTTCCTGGCAGGCTACCATAGCTGCACTGTGTTTCTTTTCTATAAAATGGTTGCAGTAGGATGCTAACAATCTACATCTCTTAAAGCAGTGTGTGAAACACCATGTATGGCAAAGCTCAGAACTAGCAATTTTCCGTGTTCTCTGTTGAGCGTTTAATTAGGAGTTGCTTCCAGCTTCTTGAGGGTAGAGGTGAATGTACAGGAAAATACTAAAATACAATAATTCAATTTAGGTACTTCAGAATTTGAGTGCTAAAAGAGTAACTTTGAACTGCAGTGTGTGTTTGCCTTTTGTTATCCACAGGGCAGTGTCACAGAGCACGATGTTGCTGGTGGGTCTCATGCAGCTCAGCCTCTGACTGGGTGCTTAGCTGCTGGCTTGGATTTGTCAGCAAACATGCCAGGCCCAGTGGTGGTTTCCATCCGGTCAACACCTGACTCAAGTTGCTGAGTGACTTGAAAACTCAATGGATATGGTTATATCTAAGTGCTGTAGTTAAAACCCAGTCAAGCTAGTTTAAGGATGTTTTTACTTACACAGTGGCAAAAAGAGAAGGAAAAAGCTCAAATATTTGGAAGTAAACCTAGAACTTAGTGGTGCTGTGGGCTCTTATGGCAGTCTTTGCAACACACACCTGTGCACATGAGATAACCTTCACGAGCTGTGCCTGTAAGTTTTTGACAATTGTAATTTTCTTGAAATATTAGCTTATCACCTATCCATCTTCCATTTTTAATTATTCTGTATAATTTCTACCAGAATTATTCTAGACAAAACAAAGGTATAACCTAATTTTTTTTTTTTTTTTTTTTTTTTGCAGTTATTACTGTATCCACACGTTTCTGATTGGTTTTTCAATGTTTCAGCATTCTCAGAGATTTCCTGCAGTGCTTTTTGGGGCACGTTTGTATTTTTTGTTTCTTTAGCAAATTTGGAAACTGGGTCAATTTATTTTCTCACCTCTGTACTCTCTCCACATGCTTTTCTTTAATTCTTCCATTTTGCCTTTAGAAATCACTCATGACTTTTTTTTGTAAAATGTTTCTGTTTTTTCTAATTGCGGAATATAGAAGAGATGACTTTTCACGGATAATGTGAACAGTGGGTATACTTTCTGGACTAAAATACCAGCCTCCTATGTGCTGCATGTGGGCTGCCAGGCTGAGGGACGTGGGCCTACCATGTGGTGGGGTGGGACACATTTTGGTGATGTGACAGACGTGCATTTGGTCACAGCAGGGAGGAAGGGATGTGGCAGGGGACTGTTTCCTCTCTGCAAATATTTAAATGGCCCACTGCAGTGAAAACGTTGGGGTCACTACTTTAGATAGTCAGAGTCCAGCTTGTTCTTTTCCTTTAGTTAGGAAAATTTGTGATCTGCTTCATTTTCTGTATCACCGGCTCCAGGGTCAGACATTAGGATAATTTATGTAACTAAAAATACCGGCTGGGATGGAAACAGGATCTAGGAAGAGGGCAGACACATTAACAGCTCCTGTGTCTGGCAGAGCTTCCCAGTGAGGCAAAAGGCAATGGATGAGTGTGGCTCACAAAGTGGTGCTTTGTTTTTTCCATCTTCCCCCCAGAGACTGCCTGTTTCCCCAAACACTCATCCTCTCCGTAAATCAGAAGGGATTTGCATAACTTCTCCAGCTTGTGCTGTACATGTGTCACTCATCGTTGCACTTCTCTGGCATTACCAGAGGCATCATTTTCTGGCAGTTAGTGACTAAATGGAAATTTTGCTCCCAGCAGCACTGACTCATCCTGGCAAGGGTTTACCAGCCTGTGGTCTGGGCAGTGTGTGACTCTGCCAAGGAGACTCACTAAACTGAGCAGACAGCTGCATGTTTGAGAAAAGGGAAGAGCATCTGCTGGAATAGATCAGGAACGAGTTACAAATCAATAGGGTGAATGGCAAAGATTCTGTACCCATATGAAAGGACAACAATTCTTAAAAATTGCTTGTTTCTTTTGCTCAGAGACAGAAATTCCTAGGCCTCTGTTTCTCCTTTATCATGTCTGTAATTCACCTTTAAAAGAGTATGCAGATGATACCATTTGGTCAACAACACAAAACACTATCAGGGCCAGGATTCACTACTCTCTTTCTTAGATGGGTCAGATTTAACTGTTCAGCTGTCATTTTGTGATCTGCAAACCATTCTCTGTATGGGTTGCTGGAAATATGCTCCATGTAATGACTATTTTTATTTTTCCCAAACATACTAATTTTATAGATAAATTCACATAAGCCTTTCCTGAGCAGTAAATAAGTTGGGGTAATGATTTATTTTCCTTAGTCATTTGCATAAGCATTTGTGTTTTCTGCTGGCAGATGGTCCTGGAAACTGCAGTGCTGAAGTACTGCACAGAAGGTTAATGTGAAGGGCTAAATCCTTATCCTGTGAAAATTATTGTAAAAGTCATCCATGGGCTCCCAGTTTTTGTATATTCACTAGGACTAGGATTTGATGAGCACCATAAAAATTGCTGCACACCTGCAAACTGTAGCTAGGAGTTCAGATAACATGTGAGCATATGAGGTTATTTTAAAAAATGATCTTGCAACTATTTTGAGGCTCAGCCATCTTTTTTTTTTTTTCCTTTTAGTTCATGCTTATGTTGCATTGTTTATTTTAACCAGCTGTTTATCTTCTCTCTGTCCATTTTTTGTGCAAGATGTCTAGCCGCTGGTACTTGGGGCTTTGTACGGCATTCTTAAGTGTGTTCCTCAAGAACTGTGCACTGCTTTTGTCCATCCAGGGCAGCTTTTATTGTTCAGGTTTTTAACTAGCATTCTAAACAAAGACCTGTTAATGCCTAATGTAACATGTTTACTGAATGTTGTTGTAATTATTTTTTCCCCTGTCTTCCAGAAAAGACTTTAAAAAATAAAGTTTAATTAGGGAGGTTGATTAAATTAGCTTGATCTGCTTTGGCTGTCTAATACTGTATATGCCAAAGTGAATTTGTGTCTGAAGCAGGCAGCAAGCGTGTTTTAGCCTGGATTAATAGTAAGTGTTTATAATCTTCATTCTACTGATTTTGCAGCTAAATAATAGGCCAGCACTCTTATCTTCAGGGAAACATGTGTGATACGCTCTTTTAAGATGCATCAGATCATACATAAGCTGCTCCAGAAAAGCCACATGTATTAATATATAAAATAACTACAAGAATAACACTGACTTGGCAGTATAAGTGCATTTTGCATGCGTAGGAAGAGCAAACCTGATTTGCTGCCCTATTGTATGGAAGGGGCAGCTTGCAATAGTGCTGATGAAGTGAAGAATTCAAGAGACTTAGAGCGTGGAAGGACCATGAGAAACAGAGCCCTGCTGGGCTGAAGCATGTGCACAGAGACTCAGTAAGCAGCGATGGGGATGGTAAACCCTGGGGGCAGCAGTAATTGCTCCCCTGGGAAAGCGCACCTTCTACCTCCTGCTCAGTGGAGTGGAGCACCTGACACACTCCTGCCGACGCCATGGACAAGCTCAAAGGCTGACAAGCTCTTGCTGAATATTTGCATCGCAGTGAAGTTTTTATTGGGTGACATGCTTAATTTCATTTCTCATAGATTGAGTTAGAGGCTGATGCTCGCTGATGTGAGAGCTGCGGTAGTGGGGCTGACACGGATTTGGGGTACAGCCTGGAGGATCCCATTGTGTGAGGGAAATCCTGGGTGGGCACTGCCAAGGGACAGGTAGCTGGGGAGCACAGGGAGGCTGGTTCATGCTTACCCATGCTGCTCAGGGGTCTCCTAGAGCCACATGTGGTGGCAGGGAAACACTGCAGCAGGGAGGCTCAACTGCCTGCACCATCATCTGCTGATCTCAAGCCAAATCTGACCCCAGTGTAACAAGATCAGAGTGCTACACAGGTATCTGAGTCTCAACAAGGACCAGAAACAAAGCTTAGATCTCATTTAGTTGGGGTGTGTGTGAAATAAATGCTAAAGAAAGAGCAACAGCCCCAGAAATTGGTGTGTAATGCTTATGGGAAACTTGTGCCTAAGCAGAACTCCTCCTTTTGTCTTCCTGGCTTTGCTGGAGCTGCTTTCAGGCTCTCTGGAGGGATAGATAACACAAATGATAGGATTTATCATGTCAGTGCATACTTAGAGAGTCCTTAATCTGTAGATTATTGTCATAATCGTTTGTAATGGTTTTTCTGAGTCATTTCAGACTATCGTAATAAGGCAAGTTTGTTTCCTAATACATTGTATATTTTACGCTTCACATAGTATAGTCTATATGAACAGCAAATAAGCAACAAGGAAATCTTCTGACAAAATCAGTGCAGTCTTGCCAAATTCAGAGCAGTCTCTTTTAATCTCAAATTTTCTTTTTTTTAAGTGAAATCTTTTTGTGATCTGTGTTTCAGATTGCCTCTGCATATTTCTTTACAACTTTTTGTGCCATATAGCAATTAATTAAGCCAGGTGAATAGATGGTGTCTTTTCAGAATACAACAAAATATCTCTGAAGAAAAATGAGCTGTCTGCAAGTGTATTTGCTCTTTACAGTGGGAGTCCTGACATCGTCTTAACAATAGCTGCAGATAGGCTGTGATCATCTTGCATGAACAAATTGCTCCCTGAGTCCTGATCAAGTTAAGTCTCAATCAAAATCTTTTCTTCATCTACATCAAAAACATATGCCTTACTTTAAGTGGAAGAACAAGCACAATGAGAACCATAAAAAATTTAAATGAGACGAGCAGAAAAAGTTAATCACAACAATTTCTGTCTATCTATCATAGGTTTATTAGGAGAGGGCAAGCACACAGAGGTGGGAGAGTGTAAAGCTCTCTGAATCACCACCTTCCTCTCCCCATGTGGCCTCTACACTTTGCAGAACTTAAGTTGATGTTCTAGTAGAGTGTAATGGTTTAGGAATTAACAATAAAGAATGTTGTAATTATGTATGGAAATATGTCTAGGGAGGTGTCTTAATAGTGCTTGCTACCCTGCAGAGAGAGACAGAGAGGGAGTGCATGTTTATGAATTAGTGAGACAGGATGTGTGAGAAGGAATTTTAGATAATCCTTATTATAAAAATGGTGTGAAATACATATTTTAGACAATACAACATATGTGTTTTTAAGAGTGCTGGAAGACGGTGGAAGAAGGCCCC